GGAGCAGCTGGCCAACATTCGTATTGATGCATCGCCGTCCCATCTCTATGTACTGTTGCGAAAAGTTTGTATTTGAACAACTTTTTCAGCGTCTATACTTTCTGCTGCACACTTGTGTAACATACTCAACAATTCCTAGTCTGCTTCTTTACTGTCTGACAAAACTTAAATGAGTTGGCGAAGTGTTAGGTACTTACCTTTCCAAAAAAAGTTATCCTCACGTCAGAGACAGCCTAACTTTAAGTTTAGTTTAAATTTATAATGGGCATAGCTCAACAATAAAACAAAGGTATCGATATGGTATAACTGTATGAAAAAGACTTCTAACTATCTTTTCGATTCAGAATTAATGACCCGCATCTTGCTAGAATTGGATGATTATTTTTTACACCGATAGGTAGTGAAGATGTGATAAAAAGGGAGTGAAGTTAGTTATCTTTTTTTAAAACTAAAATTAAAACTCAAGTGAATCCAAGGTGAACAGCCGAGAGGAGTATCATAAATTTGCAGTGTTTCTGAAGAAGAGAGAAGGAACGATCGCTCAACCAAGTTCTCGTTTGTTGACATCACTTCACATTTAAAACCCTTTGACTAAGGCAGTGGTAACACCTCCTGTTCATTCTTCATTGACCCTCACCTTTGACATGAATTCTTGAAATGCCTCCTATGTCAAAGGGGTTGTTGAGTGGGATGATTATCAAGATTCTTCAATGACGATCTCATTCAACGACCAACATTCGTTCGATTGGCAGAACATCTTGAGATACTGTTAGTATCAACTTGGCTCTCATTCCTTATTCCAGCTGAAATAGAAACATATGAACAATATGAGTACAATATGAGAGTAATGAATTGAAATTTCTCTGCAAATGTTGTTTGGAAGATATTTATTATAAAAAACGTATAACAAATGCGCGGGAATCAAGTCCTAGATCGATACTCGTCTAGACTAACCAAGTCTTTCATTCCTCCCCAGTCGGTCAATTGAAGCTCATTCAGCGCTTATATCCTCCCAGATTCATCTGGGAGGATAAAAGCACTGACTTGAAGACCTTATAGACCACGTTCGCATTCCGTACGCCACTATGTTTCTGAATGGAAGTGGGATAGTTCTCACAGATGCTCATAGACTTTCAGACTTTGTCCAAGAGCATTCCTACGTCACCATTCGAGAGTTATCTGAATTGCTGTAGATTCAGCTTTACCGTCACTCCATCGGAGGCCGAGCTTGCATCAGGTGTTGAACACTCTCCTCCTCTCGCTTACTGAGATTCCTCACCGTGTCCTTGTTGACTTACATTTTGTCGTGCATGCAAAAGTTCCTCTACTTGTTGCAATTTCTATCACCTGAAGACACTCTGGGCGAGTGCGGAGAGTAGACAGAGTACAACCACCAGTACTCGCAGTTCGAGTTATGTAAACAATGTGATGGGGTAACTCTCATTGGGGGAAAAGCACAACACGCAAGATATATTTCTGCCAAATAAAAAGAAGCCCACGCACAATTATGCTGAGTTTTCGTATGAGAAATCTGCTCGAACGGTTCAGCTTGGCTTTGGTCGCCAAATTTTCAACCAGGCTAGCAGAGCTGGCTTAGTGGCGTGGCGCACTATCACAACTCCTGGCCCGAAGAGATCCAATCCCAGATCGACACCGGCTCCGGACAAAGAAGCCTTCCATCTCTACGTACGCGATCAATAAATTGATGCCAGACTCGTAGGTCTAGGAGGCTACAAGCACAGACGTATGCATCGGTTGCGCTTCACGACTCATTGCATAGGCCCCTATATGCATACAACCAGGCACAACGGTTCTGAATGGAAGTCGAATACGGGGCGCATCCCGAAGTATGGGATTGATCAGTGTCAAAGATTTTGCTTTTAATCCTTCATTCTAGGCTTCATTATGTTATCTACATAAATCTCTAGAATCTCATAGAGAAAGTTAAAAATCTCTCTCAAAACTTCAGCCGAACTTACATACATACAGATGTACACCCTACCCTAAGCAAAAGTTCCTCTAGTTTCTAGTTATGCTTAGAGTTTTTGCTGAGATGTTTGTTGAGGTTTAGAGTAATCCATCGTATAAGAATTGCGTTCCGTAAATTGCTCCGAAATGGCAGGTGCTTTACAATGGTACCACCACCTCAGCAGCTGTTTACTCCACAATGCCTACTTGATAGTCTTTCTGTACTTAATCGCCATGGCTAATTTGATGACCTCTCGCTCCAGTTGATTACGCCATCTTGGTAACATACAGTTCCATCNTTAATCATTGCAAAATAAGTTATCATCCGTTATCTACAATTATCAACACATAGTTCTAATGTAATTTTGAGGATAGTTCTGATAAATGTCGTTTTCGATAGGTGTTTTATCGACTTCTCTTCAAAGTTTCGTCTTTTCACAAAAAGCGTAGAAAGCAAGTCAGCCTCTATGTGGAATACTAACTCTTCTTAAAGGAAACTTATGAAGGTGGCGATACTTCGAAGTTATACATCCGAGAGACTGTTCCTCAGAACTACCTTCCTCAGATTCTTAGCCACTGTCTTACTCATCCGAACTTTTCCCTTCAGTAACCACCATACTCTTCCCCAAACACTGACCAATGAACCCTCGCTAATGCTGTAGAGTCAAGGCCGTTTTTCTTATCTATGGAGCGGGGCCTCCACAGATAAGAAAAACGTTCCTAGCCATAGCGGAGTACCTTAAAATCGAATTACGAACGAGTGTCGTGCTCATCCGTCGATCACTGATCGCCTATTGATTCCATCTCATCGGCGACGAATTGTAATGTTCCAAGTTGTTGTGTCACCACCTTTTTCCTTATTTTTTTCCTTTTATCCATTGTCATAGTCAGAGATTGACGTATACTCTTGACATGGTTTTTACTTCTACGTAATCCATTTCTTTCAGTTAATTCTATTGTCAGCCAATTCTTAAGTAATACTTAATAGTAAGGGATTGTATGCGATTCATCCTATTAATTGGTCATAAAGTGATAGGAAACCCTCCTCAGATCTGAGATACCTCGCAAATTCGCCTCTCACAATAAGTGGGAGAAGAAAGTGTTCACTTCATGATCCAGAAGCCTTCCAACCTCTTCGTCGCTCTTGCTCAAACTCTCCCACTTCTGCATACAGTTCATCTTATTACTATCGTTTTTCTACCTCTCTTGGGCAGCCTCCATCATTCGAACAAAATAAAATGGGACGAAAATATGCTCCAAAACCTTTTCGCGTTATCAGCTCCTTAGTGATCTGTACGACCCCAGCAGTTTCGTAGTTACGATCCACCGATAAGAAAGTCCTGCTGACTGTTAAACGCTCCTAAACATTGAAAATTCCTTCCATATTTTTTCTTACGCAGCCCTATTCGAAGATGTGGTTGCTAAAACAGAGTGCCAGCTCTCCGCTTATGGCAAGCGGTATAGTGAGCGCTTTCGAAAGAGCGTCGAGCGTTTTCAGCGCAAGACGTTGAGCGCTGAGCGTCGGCACGTGTTGTGTTGAGTGAGCAAGTGAAATTTTTCCACCAACGGGTAGCGCTGGGCTCCTACACCGTATTAGCGTCAGCGCCCCCAACGGCCTTTGACCGTCACATGTCAAAGTAGGGAAGTTCAAATTCATCTGTCAAAAGGAGTCGAGGAAAAGTGAAATACACGGCTCTGAAAAAAATTAATCAGGAAAATACTCAACGCCGACCATTGCGGTATTGATTGACCAGCGCCATCACGTCGCGCTCGACGTTTCTGCGTCAAAGGCGCTTGACGCTCTACTCTGAAAGACGCCAGTTGACTAAGTCCAGTAACGTAAAACCCCACACAAATGTACCGCACACAGTCGGAAATGAACAATATTGATAGAGTAAAGGTAATAGTTCTAGTGCTGGTGAAGGCTGTTTAGGAAGTGTGGGCCATTTTAAAAGAAAACAAAGTAGGCAGGGGTAAAGTGGGGTCCACACCCTGGGCCGGGTTCGCCTTTGAACGTGCCCTGACAAGGAAGGCATAAAACAGAGTTTATTTAGGAAACATGTAAAAACGTGTAAAGATTATGGATAGCATACCGGCTGTAGAGTACTGGTTTCATTTTGAGCTGTAACGTAGTACTAACAGGACTAAACCTGTTCAAAACCTGTTCGCCCAATTCTTGTGAGACCTCCAAAGTTGGCGTAACGAGTGGGATCAACTTTTCGGATTCTTCGAGGTGTCGATGGATACGATTGTTAGTTTCCTTTGTTAATTCACCCATCGATTACTCCCACCTCTACTTTTTTCCTGAACTAAACTAGTGGCTACTGCTCAATTTTTATTTTTTATTTTTTATGGAATGCAATATCAGTTAACACACTTTTTTCTTCCATTGTTTTCCTTTCTATGAAAGTGGGCGGTTTTAATCAACAGCCGACTCGATTTCAATAAAAATTTGTTTTCATTTCTACTCAGCCAACGTCGTTCTCCTGTTGTCCATGAACTCAACTGAAGCTACATTAATATATACAATATAAGGGACAGAAATTAATCTCGCTACATGGCGCCCTTCCAGGCCGATAATCCAGGGATTAAATGCCGGTCCCATGCTTGCACGGCTAACCAAGCCTCAATCCTCTCATGGTCAAAGTTGTTCGAATAGTACAGGGCTCCTAATTGGGGGAATAAAAGCTTTAACCGGGGCAAGTCAATGTATTGGCTGAATACACTTTTAAACGCGCCAGTATTCTGAATGGAAGTCGAATACGAGGCGCATCTCTAAGTATTTTCTCTTTGTCGTCAAAGCAATGTTCTGATTTCGGATTGATCGCAAGTTTTTCGCATTAAAATAAATAAGTAGTGGCATAGACATCAGCCTATTGCCTTTGCATCATTTTATTCTTCTTTTCGAATTTCATCTCTTTTTAATTTATATTCGACTTCAGTAGAACCACTGCAGACTTGAACTGTAACGGGTAACCAAGGCGCTTCCTTCAAAATTTGATTGATCCGTCAGCTTCAAAGAATTCCCAAGGATGCAGTTGAGTATATACATGAAAAGAGCATTTTACCCATTGGCGAGTCGGTTATCTAGCCCTATTCAAGGGAAGTTACCTAAGCGAGTAACAGCCGACGAAGCTGTGTCAACGATTGCATCAGGTAACTTGCTTCTATTTATTCTTTTTAATTGGAGCTTGAAAAAGTTGGTTCTGCATCCATCTGTTTCAGGTGACCACATTTTCGTTCACGGACCTGCCTCTACCCCTACCGAGTTATTAGAAGCCCTTTGTCGTCGGGTCGACTCCCATGGAATCAAAGATCTTCGACCCATACATATTATTCTGGGAGGAAAAGTTCCATGGACGGACGAGAAATATTTTGGTGAATTACCATAATTTCTGACAGTGCTCTATGTTTCGGAATCTACAAGGAGCTAGCTTTTATAAGACTGATGAAAATTACTAAAACTTACAGGAAAGGTTCGTTCTAATGGGCTGTTTCTATGCGGCAACGTAAGAAAGTTAGTCAAGCAGGGTAAGTCAAACTTGTCACCATTTTCAACCATACTTCCTATTCGAGTAAAAAAGTGTCCTTAACCTGCTCACAGCAAGTAAATCAGATCTGTGGATGTGTTTATCAACAGTGTAGCCTAAATTTCCGGTTGCTCAGAATAGAGCGTGGCGTCCCCAGCTGTGGGGTGCGCTTCGTTGCGCGCGTCCGTCGAAACTAGGTCACGCCGC